GTGGCGATTATGGTGTGGAAACTGATACTATGACCAGAGGTACAACAGTTATCATGCTTCTTTCATTTGCCCCACTAATAATTCCTTTTTCTATTAGTATTTATAACTTCATCCACAAGGACACCGGTCGTCGTTGAACTCTCTCTCGGTACTACTGTTTTTCTCCTCCTCCCATCTCGACTCGTTAGAAGTAATGTATAATAAAATCCAAAACGACCAAGTTTATGCATGCATCTGATTTATTAATCATCTAGAAATTAAATTGTCTGGTGAGAAATAAGATTTACTACTTATTCTATTATCCTTGAAGAATTTACAGTTACAGGGCTTCTTTATAAGAGGATTATGAGTAATTATTTCATTACATAAACTCAAAAAAATGCTTCAAGAAATTGAAACATTGGACCAACATTAAATTAATAATAGAAAAGTAAACATTTAATCATATCATATTGTAGACTGACATATCAACAATCATATTAATTGAAAATATAATCCGTTTGTTTAATTATTTTTCCCCATCCTATTAATACTATTTCCAAAATACATGTTTCTTTCCCTATTCTAAAAATAATATTATATTTTATTCAATTATTTTTAAACCTCCTAAGTTTATTAATTTAACTAAACTCCCCCCCAAAAAAAGTTTAGAAATTAACAAAAATATCCCCACCCACATTTGCCAGATTCCTGCCACCGCCGAAACGTGGCTGGAATCTAGTATAATGCCTATCATTTACCATCCAGATCCACTGTAAATCTGACCAAAAAAGGCAAGATCTACCACCAAAGATCTGGTCATTGACGGTCAGATCTTTGGCTGTAGCTGGTCTTCAACGACAGCCAAGACATGGTAATCGTTGACAATCAATGATGGTCATATCTTTGGTCATTGTTGATGACCAAACACGGCCAGATCTGGCCATCAACGGCTAGATCTAGCCATAGATCTAGCATTTTCCGACCAGATCCATGATGGATCTGGTTGGAAAAGATCATCTCGATACACGATCGACCAAATCCAGCTGATCATGCACCGTAACGCCAGATTCTAGACAGATTTCAACGGTGATGGCTGGAACTAGCAACTGTGTGTGATGAGGGTGTTTTTATCATTTTACAAAATTTTTATATATTGGGGTGCTAAGAAAATTAGCAAACTTATGGGGTTTTTTGTTAATTTTTAAATTCTAACTCGTAATAATCACCCAACTCTACCTACCAATAATATTTCAAAAATACTACTCAAAATAATAAAACAAACACACATAATTATTTATACAAACATATTCTATATTTTCAATAACCACATCTTCCAAATTTCTTATAGCATTTCATGCTATGTATCTTCTTCTATATTTTATTTTAATTAAAAAAAATTGATTTAGAAATAATTAATTACTTTAGAACTGCCTAGCTGATTACTATTTTACAAACTATTTTATATATAATTAGATTTCCAACTGAAACTATAAATAATAGAATGTTATCGCCGGCATTTGAGCCATGGATTCAAAAAACAAGTATAGAATATCTATTCAATAACTATGTACCAAAGAGACAACTTCGAAGGCTTCTCATTGATGACGGCATGCTTAATCATTCCCTCATGAAAGAGTAAGTGAAAACAAAATTTTAATGAATTTAATTAATTCATCTAAAAATACATTAATCCATTTTTCTATTATTATTACCGGTGTGTTATTGTTGGACACATGTTTCTTTTTTTTTTTTCTTTTTTTGTTTTTTTTTTTTTTTTGGTTGACATGGTTGTTGGGTCAGTTTACGCCCATCTCGACTAGTCTCTGAGACATTGAATACCTACAAGTCCAAATTCCAGTAATCCCAAATATGATAGGTGACCAAAGGTCGAACTCAAAAAGTCAATAAAATGAGTAAATTTTCTTGATCGTCAAGCAACTCCTTAGGGTTCACATGAACATTTTTCTAATTCCTTTATATGTATATACAAAATGCCCTACGTAATAATAATTACAAGTGGAAGAAGATTTAGAGTAATGTAATTTAATCGTATAAATGTATTTTCAGGCTATTTGAAGAGATTGTAAGAATAATGATTGAGAAATATCCAAGGGTGAGCTTGAAAAATTTCATCCAGAAAGAGTTACAAATAGAAGGGGTGGCCAGGAATGGGAATAAAATTATTGAAATGGCGATGAAACAGTTTGATACCTCTTGTAATTCTCTTATAAACGAGAAAGAGTTCTTGAATGGTCTCCCAAAATGGCTTTGGAGTATGAAACGCCTCTCTCCACTCAGTTTTTTTCTTTTTTCCTTTTCAGTTAATAATATATTATTCTCACATTAGCCATTTTAGGGTTTGGATATATGTTTTAATTAAAATTTTAATATCAAGTTTTATTATTCGCTACATTTATTGGTCTAATGATCGAAAATTAAATTGAAATCTAAAATAAAAAAGTTAACATTTAATATTGTCATATTTATTAGCATACACCTTCGGGTTAAGATAAATTAATAATTAGAATTTTGATAAAAGATCTAATCTTTTATTTAAACTATACATATGAATTAATCAATATTAAAAAATTTATATTTTAATTTTAATTTTATTAATGTTAAAGCCTACACAAGAACAAACTGACATCAATTATTTCTAATTGGTTGAATGGTTCGATAAAGACTCTTAGATATATTATTTAAAAGGTCATGAGTTTGAGTCTTTTCTCATATACTAATAGGGGTAACCACTAAAACTCTTACAGTATCGGTTGGAATTGATATTACATCTCGACTTGGAGATCCCCTCATGGAAACTGCTTCTCTAAATATTCCCTCATTCTTTATCTCAATATTCTGTTACCTTCAGCTTTCGGCATGGGACAGTTACTGGGAGCAATTACTTCTGCCAGACAGAAATCACAAAAGGCCTCTTCTTTAACACTTTCTCGGGTTATTCTTTTATTTCTCTCTCCAATGCAGATTTTATTTAACGTATCCATCTAAGAATCCGTTTTCAATTCCTTCATTTAATATGAGATTTGTTGTTTGTTTAATACCTGAAAGGTTTTTGCGTGAAGATTTATGGAGCTGTGTCCATGAACAAAATGGTGGGTTTAACACTATTTCTGTCACTTGTTTTGATAAAAGATTTACAATAAAAATTATATCACAATCTAATCTCACAAACTTTGTATGACAATCCCAACATGATAACTTGTAATTGATCAGAGAGAAAAATTTATCAGAAACCAATTGTAAGCTATTATGTTAGAATTATTAGAGAAAATTTATAAGATTAGATTGTAAGTATAATATTACCTGTATTAGATAATACTAAATACATAAATTTTTTATATTTAAGTTTGTACTTGTAATATTGTATTTACTTGGATTTAACAATTTAAAACAATTGTGCTACAAATCCAAAACCATTTTTATGGGCTTAGCAGCCCAACGAGCCTTCTAGGAACTCACATCCAACTTGAGTAAACAAGTGTGTTTTGGCGGGGTATGAATATTTTTTTCTCGAGTAGTTTTCTTCTAGGCTCTACGACAAGGTATTGTTGGAGGTTACGAAATTAATGTGAAGTCATCTTTATTTCTTTTCCTCTTTGTGCTTCACAGAATCACCATTCCCTGAAATTAAAATTCCTTCACTGAGCACAAATGTTGTCTAAGCTCTTGCAAGCTTATATGTACAAAAACCAGTAATAACCATCAGTTGGGGTGTTATATTTTGTCAAATCCGAGTAATTGACAAAAGAATAAGTTATGTAATCACATGAAGTATTTGGAGAGCGATCTTAAATAGGCCAACAGGAGGCTACTGCAAACGTATTCTTAAACAAAAAGTTTGAAAGAAAATACACGTTTGTCTCATAGTTAATTCATCAAATTAATCCACAAGAGAAAATTAAACACTATATTGAACTTCAATTACAAAGAAAGCAAAAGTAATGCCCCCACCTATATATATATATCATCACATCCATGTTACAAAGAGCTTTCTGAAACTCAAAAGTAGTTGTTCATGAAAATTAAGCGTTGGGTGAACCACCTATATAGAGCCGTAGGTTGAGATCAATTGCCTCTCCCCTTGCTCCACCTCTCTCATGGTTTAGGCTAAGAGTCGTTTCTGTTTCCCCCATTTTATCCTCTGGTATCAAGAAGCTGTAATAAGGCTTCTTCTGAGCTGAACCACTCTGTCCTGACATTCTGTGTGAGCCTTCCATGCTTTCCTTCAAGTTGAAATCATATGACATAATTCAGATAACAGAATTAATAAACATCACATACTTCAGAGGACAGTTTGTAACTGGTAAATGAATAGTTTTGATGTGTTACTTGGGAGCTGGAGAATTCTTGTTGAGGAGTTTGAGTTAATGGAGGAGGAGTTGCCGGACAACCAAATAATAGAAAATTTCCATTCAGTGTTCCATAATCTGTTATGCTCTTCTTTGAGTTGAGCTCCAAAGGGCCACCAGGCTTCGGATGGTCTCTGATACAAGTGAAGTGATGATATTAAAATTAAAGCTAAAAACTCAGGAAAGTGAGGAAAAATGTCGATTTTAACAAACCTGGAAACACTGTCATTCCGTTTAAGGCCAAATGCAGAATGATTAGCATAAGAGGGCGATTGATCTAGCGTATGCATGTGCGAGAAAGGTGAAGAAACTGGGTAGTGGAATGGACCCGATGGGTCTTCCACGGAGAAAGTCCTTAGCCGCTTCGTGCTTGTCATCTAGTTTCATAGGAACCGAGTTTTACATTAGAAAAAGATTCCTCGCAGCCTAACTCATCAATCAATTAAATAAAATCAGATGAATCCATACAAAGTAGAACACGGATACAAGAGTCGTTTCCCAATAACAATAATTTCCCTTTGGTTTAACGCTATGTGAAGGAATTGAATCCCTCTCTTTATTACTGATCCGGCGAAAAAATCTCGGTAAAATCAATGAGTTAGACTCAACTTAAAATTCTTGAAAATGGTTATCACCAAGAATAAATAAAATTCATGTACTTAAATCAGATGATGGGAGTCTAAACAAATGAACAAATAACCCTAAACGAATCTGTGCTGAAATAAAGTGTTTGATGTATAACTTTAAAGAAACTTGAAAAAAAAAAAATACAAAAGATTAACCATGGGGATTTTGCATGCCTTATCTTCCTCTGGCAATAGAGATATATAGTTGTGATGTAATCTTTGGTTTGAAGGGGGCTCTAGACGGAGAAAAAATCCTGCCGATTGGCTGTCTGGTGAAGACAGTGATCCAGAGTTGGGGAAAAGATTTTTCTGTTTCACAGTTCAGACCCATCTTTAAAAAGTTAGCAAGGAAAATTATGAAAAATCAACATAAGTACTAAAACACAAACAATACCGTGGAAGAAGGGTATTGACTATGTTTATTTTGAAGCATAGAAGAAGAGTGATGATGCATTTGATCGGATCTGTTAGGAAAATTTGTCAAAAATGGATATCCAGATGAGATTTTAGGAGCTTCCTCACAGAAGCTTGAGTCACCGGAACTCCACATTGTGGATAGCAAGGTCTGTTCAGGCAAAGCCGCCATGGCTGATCCACCAAGGTTGAGACCTTTACTGCCACCTCCCAAGACTGCATTTTTACCACCATTACCATAGAGCATGGACATCGGTGGAGAAGGTGGACTGAAGTAATTGTGATCCGGAACAAATGAAACGTTTCCTGTAAAAAGAATCAGATAAACAAATTATGGAATGATAATCAAAATTGGAGAGAAGTTAAAAATAGTGTTGCCTTCAATCTTGCCTTGGTGGTCTACATTATTTTTGCATTCTTGTTCTCTCAAGATCTTCTCCAGTTCGGCTACTCCAGGGCCTCTTTTAGGGACTCTTTGTCGCTTAGGTTTCTTCAGAATAAGACTAGCGTAATCACCATCATCACCAACACTACCACTCACACCTGCACCACTACTGCTGGTATTGCTACACATTTCTTCTTCTCTTGTTTTGTTGATTTTTCAGTCTCTGTAATATAAGATGTAATAAGCAATAAATTTTTCAAAATGTAAATTTAAATCACAAAATAAAGCAAACCCAAGTGAGAGAATAGAGAAAATAACAAGATTCCCCATTTTCAAGATCACAAAATCTAAAATAGTAACCAGAATAAATTCAAAATCCTAGATAAAAGGGAAGGAGTTGAAACCGGCTACCCAAGCGTAATGCGGAAGTGAAATCAAGGAAAGTCTTCCCTTGTTTTCAGCTCATAATAAAAAGATATTAGAGAGACAAAGGAGAGAGAAGATATCTACAGAGTTTTCGGGATTTTCTCAGCCAATTTTGTCTGTCTGAGAAAGAAAAGAAAAATCACAGGAGGCCCAGAAATTCAAGGAGAAGTAAAAACAAACCAAAATCTTCTCATTCCTCAACTTTCTGTTTCTGTTTCTCAAGTCACTATGTGAATGTCAAAAGTATTGCAGAATATGACCTATGCCATGCATAATTCGTCTTGAAATCTGAGGAAATCTTTGCCATTTATATAAGCAGTTGTTCTTTTCTTGTATCAATGCATGAAATTTATGGAGTTGGTTATGAACCATTGGACCCCATTTTGGAAAAAGACCTTCATACTTTATAGAGTTACTTTTTTTTTTTTTTAAGTTTTTTTTAACCTGTTTATCAAATGCAATTAATTCTTTCAAATTTCCAAAAAAAATCAGCTATTATTTCATATTATTAAACTCTTAGTGAATTAAAGGGAGCCTCACTGTCAATAGGTAAATAAATTGTGGTAATAAATGAAATGAGGTCTCATTTGATAAAAGAAATCTCTCCAGGCTGGAACCATAAATTTATTGCTTGCTTTGAAGACATCTGTAACTAGTTCTTTAAGGTAACCAATCTTCTACTCTTTATAATAGATATGGAAAGAAAGGACCAAAATTTTTTTCCCATAAATTGAAACTGAAACAAATATTTGAGTAAGATACAATCACATGGGTTATGAGACAACTATCTTATCTCATTATGAAGAGGATCCCAATATCATAATTAAGCTGATGACACCAACTTTACCAAATATAAGTTTCACTCTGTTAATTGAATTGGAAACTTAATCATGCATACATGAACCAAGGCAAATTTCTTTACCAGTGTAAAAGCCAGAATATTTGGTCATTGTCTGTCATGATATGAAATGCTTTGGAATAACCTAATCACTTTGCTTTAATTTTAAAACTCATGCAGTCATTTATTGATAACCCTCGAAAATATAGAAGAGATAAATCCAGATATACTGCATGACGCCATAGTCTGATAGTCATGTAATTGATAAAAGCTAAAATTGGGTACCAAATGAAGTGGTTGGAGCATCAATTCTTCTTAGGAGAATAAAAATGATGATATTCCATCATTATTGCTGACTGAAAAAAGTCATGCATTCATACTTGACCTTTGACATATTTTACATGGAACCATCCTACCATCTTCATTCTCTGACCTAATTGTAACTTTAAAAAATTGTGTTATGAGTTATTGACATTTGCTTCAAGGAGTCAATGAAATTTATATATAGATAGTAATACTATTTGTTTGAAAGAAAACTACCAACTTCCTCATTCTTACAAAATTTCAAACCTCAAGGTTGGTTTGACGGTCAATGAGGTTTATTTACTTCCTTGAATGCTTGGGTTCAAACCTTGAGGTTACCCACCACAATAACATTATAACTTATCTACTTCTTTGGGCTTGTAAAATATTCAATGGACTCTAAAGGCGCACAAGCTAGCCCAAATATCAAGATTACCCAAAAAAAAAAAAAAAAAAAAAAAAAAAAACCAACTTCCTTGTTTTGCGTGATCTACAAAATGGGCTGGGCTCAATTAAGTGTATGAGGGCTTATTATGATGGGCTGGGCTCAATTAAGTGTATGTGGGCTTGTTATGGTAGATGGGTTGGGCTCATATAGAAATCCTCACTTAGCCGAATGAGATTAGATTAAAGAGAACTTGCTTCGCAGTTCTTAGAGAGGTTTTCTTTCACAAATGTATTTATGCATCTATATAACTAGAGTAATGCTAGGCTAACAACCCAATCTCACAATCTTCGATATGAAAGTTTGTTATTGGTCAGCTCACAACATAGGTCCCGTCTACTTGTATGGGTCTTATTTATCCATTTTCAAACTAACCATGATGAACTGTCACATCAGAGATTGTGAGAGAAAGTTGTAAATCTAACATTACTCATATAACTAAACCTATTTTGTTGGTAATCTAAAATCGTTTAACAAAATCATAAGTTAGAGATTTGGTAACTTACATAACACATGAAGGAAATTGTTATGTAAAAATTGTAACTATAGAACACACAGTGGGATCAGGATCTACGCAAAATACATTCTCACCATCATGAATTAATAATGAGATAGTGTTTTAAAAGCAATTTATTTTTCAATAATTTCAGATGATGCTTTCTCTTCTTTTGAAAATCTTATCTTCGTTTGGATTTAATGATATTTAAATCCCTAAACATACCTTTCAAATTTGACTAATTAAATTGATGGGATGTGTTGTTGGAGAAAAATATACAAAAAATAGATCAACATTAAATAAATTTAAAAATATTATCAAACAATATCAAGGTCCCGTAGCTCAGTTGGTTAGAGCGTTGGTCTTATGAGCCGAAGGTCGCGGGTTCGAGCCCCGCCGGGACCAATTTGAATTTTGCGCAGCCTCTCTCTCTCCAATCTAGAAGTTCAGCCCTGTCCAATCATTTTCTTATCTTTTCAGCGGTTGGTATCTAATCATCTGCCAACAGATCAACGGCTCACAAATATTAAAAAATTTGATTCCATATTAAAACAACGCTCAATCCAAAGAAATCACATGGTGCATTTGGCTCCTTATTTCTATCCATATTCCCTAAATATTGTTTGGTACATTATTTCAGAAATATTATTATATTTTTTTAATTACTTTTAGACCCCTTAAGTTTATTAATTTTATTAAATAGCCAAAAAAAGGTTTAAAGATTAACAAAAATACCCCCATCAATGCAGACTTGTCAGATTCCAACAACCACCGTTGGTGGTAGCCGGAATCTGTACGACGACCTACACCACGACCAGAAATGGTCGTTAGTTCACCGATCAACGACGGCCAAATCTTGGCCATCTTTGATCGAAAACGACGACCATATCTTCTTTGGTCTTTTCTGGCCAGATCCGTGGTGAATCTGGCCGGAAAAGGCCATAGCTACGGGTTACAACACAGATCTGACTGGTCTATGTCGTAACGCAATTTTCCACCCAGATTCTAACGGTGGTGTTCGGAATTTGGCACTACGGGTGGTGGGGGTGTTTTTGTCATTTTATATGTTGGGGTGTTTAATTAAATTAGCAAACCTAGGGGCTTTTTTTATAAATTTTTAAATTTTACCTCGTAATACTCCCCTATTTAACTATTCAATATTATTTCCAAAATCCTATCCAAAATAATAAACCAAACGCAACCATTGGGTAGTTGGATAGGGGAGTATTACGAGGTTAAATTTAAAAATTTATAAAAAAACCCCCTAGGTTTGCTAATTTGATAAACACCCTAATATATTAAAATATTGTAAAATAACAAAAACACCCCTACCACCCGCAATGCTAGATTTCGGCCACCACCGTCGGAATCTGGTTGGAAAATTTTTTAAGGACACATACCGGTCGGATCTGGCCCGTATTCCATCGATATAGCCTTTTCCGGCCAGATCCGTGGTGGATCTGGTCGGAAAAGGCCAGATCTAAGGTCGGATGTGGCCGTCGATGGCTAGGAAAGTCTATCTTTGGTCATCGTCGACATGGATCTGGCCGAAAAAGGTCATATCTGGTAGTTACCGGCCATTTCCCGTGGTGGTGTGTCTATTGTGAGAGATTCCGGCTACCACCAACGGTGGTTGCCGGAATCTGGTAAGTGTTGGTGGGTGTGGGTGTTTTTATTAATTTTTAAATTTTTTTCTGAGGGTATTTATGAAATTAATAAACTTAAAGGGTCTAAAAGTAATTAAAAAAATAGTCTAATATTTCTGGAATAATGTGTCAAACAATATTTGGAGAATAGGATTGGAAATATGGGTAGAAATAATAATCCAACGAGGCCCATCAAATCTCATCAAATCTCGTATCGTTCCATTATATTTTTCACAACAACTATAGACAATAAAAATCGCCTTATTAAATAAAAAATGTAAAAACATTATTCGATCTCTATCAGAAATCAGATTTTCACTTTAAAACACCTCTCAATTCGAAGAAATCACACCTGAAATCCCTTTTTGTTCCATTCTTTGTTACAACAGCTATGACAATAAAATTCCCTTTTCATGACAAAAACATTATTTAAAATTAAGATAAGCAAGCAATCTCGATCAGACTTTGTCATAGTTGGTTCTGCTGTCACTATCAGCCTTCATTTGTTGAATTATTCAAATCAAAAACAGACCAACTAACACTAAACTCCACACTAACATTGAATCTCTAACACAACCCAGTTGTTCAAAATCCTTGATTGGTGAGAGAGAGAGAGAGAGACAGAGACAGAGACAGATTTTGTGTTATATCTTTAGCGGAAAAAAGGCTGGTCATGGCCCATATTATACCACATTTTGCAACTACCTATTTTTCTTATTCATTAAATTTACTAATAAAATAATATCAAGACCAGACCTGAGTTTCCTTCTTCTTTACTTCAACTTTTACAAGTCCTACTGTCTTCCCCATCTTGTTTCTGTTACTGCCCATTTTCTAAGTACACTCTCTTTATCACCTTTTGCTGTTTTGTTTTCTCGGTATGTTGTCTTCAACTCAGATTTTGCGTTGTTTGTTTCTGTTTTTCGATTGAAAATTGTGATTCTGGGATGTCCTTTTGTTGACTTCGAGATGTGGGTTGACTTGATAAATTTTGTTTTGGAAACTAGTTGTTAGTTTTTTTACAGGAACAGCTGCTGAAATTTTACTTATATTTGATGTGGTTTATAAGCATGTTGCAATTTATCTGCTTTTATTGTGGTGATTTACCTGTTACTTGGTTGGAGATTTTATTTGGATTTACCATTTGGTTATTGGATATTTGGATGAGGGTAGTTGAGTTTTAATTGTGAGAGAGTGAGGATAACTGGGTCTCTGGTAGATTGGTTTGAGAGACTAGTGGTACTTTTTCCAATATGAATTTCTTGAAATATAATCGTATAATATAGTATTCTGAATAAAGTTTGATGGTTATATGGTGAAGTGATGCTTTGTTGTTACTGCAATCGATATGCATTTAACATGACTTTGCTAGTTCTTGGCGTTTAGCTTATCAAATTTACTCTTTTCTAAGCTGGCTCAATGCTAATTCGTACTGTTTCATTAAAATGCTGCAGGGTTATGTTGAATTAAAGACAGACATTTAATCTCAATAATGGGTTCTGGAGATTGGTTTAAGACAATAATTAACTCAAAGAAGGTCAAGGTCGGCAGTTCAAAGAAGGTGAAGGTATAATAACTAATAACTATCTGGATACTTTTACTTTCCTTCAAATTTTAATATAAACCAAGTTATGCATTTTTTGTTACTTTTTCATGATTGTAACATTCATTTTTAAGCAAACTAAAGTTTTGGAAATTATGTTTGGTCATTTAAAGTTTTCATTTTTCAATGTTATTGCCCATTGAGCACCTATTGATTACCATTTATACAATATGTGTGAAGACCCATCACTTGAATTTAGTGATATTGTTGCTATTGAGGGTAGTTGTTAAGAAATTATCATTAGTTGATATCTTTTATTAATGTTATGTATACTATCTCATTTGTTCCTTCATTTTTTGAGACAGGGGTCTTCAGCTTCTTCAAAATCCAATGGCTTCAAATGGAAAAAACGTTCAGGCAAAGAGTCTAGCAGTGTTGCTAACGCTATTAGTGGAAATCATGGGGCTCTTGGCATGCCGGTTGAGGATATAGCTGCAATGCGGATTCAAACTGCATTCCGGGCATACATGGTATGTTGACAACCAATATGAAAAAATGCCATAAAAATTCATTCTTCAATTTTTTGTCGCATTGGTCGTATTTATTTGTATCCTCCTTGTCTTTGTGCTTCTATCCATGTAGAATTTCATTGTTCAATTTTGCAATTTAGGAAGAGTGTATAGTAAAATTCTGCACATGCATGCAACGTGCTTGTTTACAGGGGATCTAGAGTTGAATTTATCATGCAAGAACCCTATCCATCTAATAAATAAACTACTGACAGTATAACATAGAGTGAGGTAATTTTGCTTTGTATCATGAAAAAAAGTTAATCATTTCATTAAATTGCCACTGAACTCATAGTTTGTATATCATATTTTGATGACAGTGCACTCAATGTTTTGACCATTTGTGAATTTCTTCAGGGAAGATCCAAGTAAATTTTAGTTGTTTGTGCATCTGGTCCTAACCCTCTGATGTTTAAGCTTGGATTAAACTTTTAGCCCAAATTGCATCTTTGCTGCACTTATGACTTGTCCTTTAATTTATTTATTTATTTATTTTTTTGACATTTCACATGTGAAAATTACGAAATGAGCCTCAGAGGGGGTGAAGGATGAGGAAAGGCTTATGATTTTGCTTATTTAGCCGCTTTGCTCCATTAATATTTCAATTCTTCTGTGACAATTCTTAATGCATGATGTGGAGGGGAGACTTCAGATCTTAGAAGTCTCAAGGACTGGTTAGATGAAATTTGATAATTTTACTCTCCTGGGCAGATGTGTAAGCTGGATTATAAGTTTCCTGGCCTATGTTCTTTTATTGGAATTGTTTGCAATGTTTTGTTGTCAGTCCTCTTTTTGATCTTAAAGTAATCAGCAAATAGCCTGTGTCTCCTTGGGCCTAATTCAAATACAGCACCTTTCTTAACTGTATTTGGGTTTGTTTTAATAAAAATATTGATTGAAAATAATTTCCATTTATAGAACAATTTCATGAACTCCCTCAGGGAACAGTTCTCATCGGAGGTCTGATATTTGTGCTAGAGTATGAAGAGTTGTCATACTTTCTATGATAGAAGGTGTAGTTTGAGAAACTACAATTTTTTCATTCTGTTTTAGGTCATTCCAACTTCCAAATAGTATTGAACAAAAGATGGAGCTGTTCGTGATAAGTAGCTAGATGTTTGTGCTCTGCGGGGCTTTTCAGACATCTCCTTTTAATACAAGGGCAGAGAGATGTCTTATAGCTTCTCTGCCATTCCAACCATAGTTATAGGTTGCAATCTGAACTTTTTAATGATTCCAACTATAAATCTGGTTAAGATTTTCACTTTACTCAGCAAAGCGTTAGTTCCAATTAATTGGGGTCACTCATTGGCCAGTATGTACTGAGTGGGAAAGTGAACCTCTTAACTTTTATTTTTTACTCCTTAAAATTAATGAAAAACTGTTTTTCTAGGAGAGGAGAAACGTATGCATTTATCGGTGTCTTGGCATCTATCTGCTTGCTAGTTTTGTATTTGAGATATAACTGTACCTTTCTGTGTTGTAAATCATATGCTTTTGGCATCTTATTGATATACACTAAATATTCACTCATTTCTTTGCTCCTGCTGCAGGCTAGAAAAAGTTTACGTCGTTTGAAAGGGATAGTAAGATTACAGGCTGCGACCCAACGTTATTCTGTTAAAAAGCAAGCCCAAACCACATTGAGCAATCTTCATACATGGAGCAAAATACAGGGTGAGATTCGTGCTCGCCGACTGAATATGGTAATGGAAGGCCGGCTCAAACAGAAGAAATTAGAGAATCAACTAAAACTTGAGGCAAAGCTTCATGATCTAGAGGTTAGAACTTAGACCAAAAACTTCCCACTTCTGGGAACTAGCATCGCTAAAATTCTCAATATCTGAGTGATGAAAGTTTTTCTTGGGCAAATTGTAAAAAACTTAGGTCTAAAATACATTACCCTTTATGTTCTGAAGGCCTACAAATGTGCCCTATGTTAGTGAAAAATTAATGGCATTAACAGAAAATTTATTGTCAAAAATTATAATTTTTATCTTGAGAATACCTAAGACCTATGTACCCTTCTTTTGAAAGACTCAAACATAATTTCTCATATGCATTTTATCTTTTGCTTTCATCAGACTATCACCACCACAACTATACCGTACTCCTATATCACTAGGACAACACATTACCAACATCACAATTTTACCATTTGCTGGCAATCTGGCCATCCAAATCTGTAAAATCACCTGACCTAAATTGAAACCAAAAAAATTACTATTACTTAAAAAGAGAAAAATTGCAGAAACTTAAGTGAGAAATTCTAGAGAATAGTGTACTGAAATGGCTTATTATTTTTCATTGAATATAACTGAAGGAGTAAATTCTGTTTACATAAAAGTTCTGAACTTTCCAGAAGCTTAATGTCTCTAAGTACAGTTTTAATCACTCCCTGAATTTTCAGCTAGAATCTAGGACATGACTTGAAGCCTTTATCAACTAACTCCAGCTTGTAACCCAGCTTGGACTAACAACTCCCTTTACTCATGAGCCACCTCTGCTTTGCCATGTCACATTCTTGTCGCACCCCAAACGTGGAAGGGATCGAAGGGGTGATCTTACCTATAAAATACTAGGCTTATTTAAGAGCTGTGTCTATCAAAACATCCATCATTTTTTGTTGCTTTGCAATGTCACATTCTTGTTGCACCCCAAACCTGGAAGGGATCGAAGGGGTGATCTTACTTATAAAATACTAGGCTTATTTAACAACTGTCTATCAAAACATCCATCTTTTGTCCTGTTTGTTTCTGTTTCTGCAAGAAATTGTAAAATTTTCTTGTTTTACTGTCAACCATAATTATGAAGGCATCTTTATTTCCTTGAATCATTGTGCTTAGATATAGGGCCTATTTAAAATCAATCAACTCTCTTTCTATACAAGTAACAGTATAAAGGGTGACAGGTTGAATGGAGTGGTGGCTTTGAAACAATCGATGAAACTCTTTCAAGGATACATCAGAGGGAAGAAGCCTCAATCAAGCGAGAGAGAGCTATGGCTTATGCCTTTTCTCATCAGGTATGTTAACCACTGAAGTAGTCTTCTTCTTAATGTGGTGGAACGAATAAATCAAATTTGCCATGACCAAATAAATTTATGATTTGCAGTGGAGGGCCAACTCTGATCCTCTTGGGTTCAGTAAATATGAACTTGGCAAATCTGATTGGGGTTGGAGTTGGAAGGAACGCTGGATTGCTGCTCGACCATGGGAAAGCCGTGTTCCTTCGAAGTTAATTAGCCCAAAGAAGGTCCAGCACGGGCAAGCAAACAAGGTTGTTGAAAACATAAATTCACCTTTTAAGTCCAAAAGCCCAAAGAAAGGGCAGCAGGGGCGAGCCAACAAAGTTGATAAAAACATAAATTCACCTTCTGGGTTCAAAAGCCCCTTGAAGGTACAGCATAGACAAGCAAGCAAGGTTGGTAAAAACATAAATTCACTGACACAAAAATCATCAGTTTCAGTGAAACCTCCAATGCCAAATGGGAGTGGAACTACAAAGGGGCGAAGGTTGTCTTTCCGAGCTGCTGAAAAGCTATCCCCTGGACAGAGCACCAAAGCTGAAGAAACAAACACTAAGGAAAGAACTACAAAGGGCCGAAGGTTGTCTTTCCCAGCTGCCGAAAAACCATCCCCTGGAGGGAACGCTATAGCTGGAAAAACAAACACTAAGGAAATAACTACGAAGGACCGAAGGTTGTCTTTCCCTACAGTTGAAAAACAATCTTTGCCTGAAGGGAGCACCAAAGCCGAAGAAGCTAGCGCTAAGGAGCTATCAGTTTCCTAATACCCTGCCAATTTTATTCACTGAGTGGCATATAGTTGGTTTTCATTTTTCAATCAATTGAAATTTCCAGAAAGAAAGTCCATTTTTTCTTTTTTAATTCCCATGTTCTTTTTGGTTGTGCATATGAAGTGTTTGTGGAAGTAATATGTTTTGGTATGTAGTACAGAATAACACATCAGAGCCATGAACCGGGTATTTGGATTGATTTTGTTCATTTCTCTTTTCTCTGGTCTGTATATTATCAGAGAAAATTTGTTTTATTTATTTATAATGTAAATAGAGAAAATTGGGGTGATTTTTTCAAATGTGTAGGAAGACCATAATTCATTCTATCTTTATCTTCCAAATAACTTATTTTATATATATATATATATATAGTTCCAAAAGGCAAGATCGAGCCTCTCTACATGTATCTTAGAGCAAATCTTAGGTGTAACAGATACACCGACAATCACCCAATGAGAGGACACGTGTTGACATGCACAGTGATATGGTGGACCTTCATTGGGTGATTGTCGGTGTATCCGTTCTACTCATCTGTACCATGATTAATTTTCATATTTGTCTATAAGTTATATAGTAGAACCGCTCTTTAGTTATAATGTTGAGATTAACTAAATTTATTATTATGAGGAGGTTATAATTTAATAAAGGTATAGTTATAATAATTATTTTTTTTATTAAAAAAAATTTTATTTTTTAATTCATGTTTTAGCAGTATTATGATTTCCATTCATGTTTTAGTAGTATTAGGATGGTATGAAATGGATATCAAAGAGTTATTATTGAATTAAGTGATTAAATTTGACAACTTCACTACACTAATTAAATAGATTTTAATGTGTTCCTCAATAATCCAAATAAGTAACAAGTCATGTATGCTTTAAATGAAGAAAAAAAATATTACTAGAATTAGACAAGAAGAGGAATGAGATAATTCTGAGGATGATAGTACAGAAATACCAAAAGTTTTGTGTCCAGAAGCTCTAAACATACTTGAGAAGCTAGAAATATTTTGACTTCAATAAGAAGATGTCAATGTTGGTGACTTATTATGAACTCGTAAGATGAAAGATGTGGTAATAACTCTATAATATAAATCATTGTCATCTTCAACTTTGGATAAATATTTTATTTTATCTTAAACTTTTAATATAATATATCATATATTTTTTGTAATATACATATAATTATTATTATGTAGAAGCAAATTCCTTTAGACGGGACTTAAAAAAATTATAATTATTATAATATAAAATTTATTTTTATTTAAAACTTGCCAAGTTAAGACCAGAATTTTTTATAATTATATAAAAGTTATTCATATATAGGTCCACTATAGAAAGGTCTACGTTTGAGGAAAAAGAGAAAAGGAAATAAAAAATAAAAAAAAAAAGGGTCGGTAGTGGGGTCATTTTATTATGTTGCATTGACAATTATAACCACATGATGGGGACAAAAAATTGCACGTTTTCCTTCTTTAATTGCAAGTTAACGACTGTTTACCTAATTGCAAAGCAAAGCTAAACATCCTCTATTCAAGATAAAGTCATTTACAGCGCAGCCTGCAACTAAAATTAATACACCAAATTCACGTGTTCAATAATGTAATCACAATTAACTTTGTAATACCACATGAATGATGTAATGAAATAATGTATATCTGTAAAAATCAATTACAAATATGTTTATATATATAATTAGTAAACCTTTAACTAATAATTATAGGGAAACATTAGGATTTAAGTTGTAAATTATCAAATAATAATAATTAATTAGGCATTAATATATTGATTTTTATGAAAATATTTGTAAATTTTAAAGTTGGTGTGGGATGAAAACTGGTCATAAATGAATATACTGTAATTGTGTTTGGTTTGGCGAGGAGATTTTAATGAGGTTTGATGTATTTATCATGGGGGAACGACTTACATCTACCCAGAGTTTGCTTTAAAAATAAATTGATATCCAAAAAGTTTTGAAACGACAAATTCCCACCTTTCGTCAGAGTCTGTTAATAAAAACCGTTAACTGATATGCCATTATTGATGTTCTTTCATCTCTAAGGGATAATTTTGACTTTTTATATTTTATAGAATTCCATTTTTTTTTTCTATTTCTTTATTGTCTTTTACTCCATTTTCTCATCACTTCATCTTCTTCGCCTCTCTCTCTCTCTTATTTTTTTTTCCTTTCTTCTCCCTTTCTCTTTTCTCTCTCCCTCCTCCTCCTCCTCCTCCCATCTTCTTCTTCTTCTTTTTCTTCTTCATCATCATCATCATCATCTCCCCCTCTTATCGTCTTCATCTTCCCATTTGGCCAAATCACACCGACTGGTGCGATTCCAGTCGGAATTGTATCAGATTGGGGGTGATTCTGCCTGGGGTGAGTGCAATTCCGACCAAATTATTAGAGTAGGTTCCCTAAAATCAATCAATTATTGTAAAATCGACTCTTTGTAATAATGCTTATTTATCAATAAAAGACATATTCTTCTATATCATGTAAATCATAATTGTGTGTATTGATATATGTCCTTAGGATGGTAGAACCGTGACGAGGGTATCAAGTGTTTAAAATCTTGATAATGAGAACCTTATGATCACATATGGTGGCTATTCTATGAATGTTCATAGCCCCAGTATTATTTTTGACCAAGGACACAAATAATACGGTAAGGCTATCATAATGTTGAACAACCCTGTCGAAAGACAGTGACTGAACTCACTTGTCAAGGTTGCTTGTCGACAACCTGGTGCAACGCATGGATGCGTACTGGAGGCAAGTTCACTGGACAGGCCCATTAGAGGGATTCTATATGGATGGTAACCCCAGTGTCTATGGAATAAATCCTCTAACCAATGGTGATGCATGTGATCCTTAGACTTGAGATCACCGGAGCGCCTTGTGCACCGATTAGTGTAGTTTAACACTAGCCCCAACGTAGTTTTATTCAGAGCTATCAATACGGTAGTAATTGACTACATTGAGGAGTGTATCAAGACTATGGTGGATTGACAAAGGATTCATCACTCTTGGGTACGGAAGAAGTTATCTCACCATGCAATTCAGTAAATGGTAATGACATCAAATCTGTGGCCACAGTGGGATTGAGTTATTGCTCAATCCAATTTATTATTCTGGTCATTAGAGCTGGGCAAGGGACCGGTCCCTTGGGACTAGTCCAAATGGGACCAGTCTCTCATGGGCCTGGGACCGGTCCCAAGCCCATGAGAAAAACCAGGACCTGGACCAGGCCTTAGGCCTGGTCGGGACTGGTCCCATGGGGTTTGGAAAATTTTATTTCCCCCTCTCAATTTTTTTTTATATTTTGGGGGCAAAACAAAATTTTATAGGGGGTTTTTAGTATTTTTTAGGGGTTGATTAGTAAATTTCTAAAAATTTAATTAATTTTAAAAAATAATAAATTAATAGTTAATTTTAATTTTTAACGTAAATGTAATATTCACATTTCACACATTCACGCTTCACAAATAAACAATTAAATAATTTTTTTATTAAATTATTCATCTTCAATTTCATCGTCAACACTAGTTACATTATTCAAATCTGTATTCCTAAAGAGTTCGAGTAGTTCGGGATCTTCAGGGTGCTGTTGTAGTCTTCTTTCTCCATGAGTCCAATCCCGTAAACACGTTATCACTTCAATCATCTCATCGGTTAAAGAACATCTTCTGTCTTCAACAATCCGACCACTCGTTGAAAATGTTGACTCGGATGCAATTGTAGAAACCGGCACAGATAAAATGTCACGTGCCATTTGGGATATAATGGGGAATTGACTTTCTTGTTGGTTCCACCATTGAAGAATATCCATGTCAAGTTGCTCCTTCATCGTCATAAAGGTCAAGTCCACCTGTAGGTAGCGAGTCATCTCATTTGGTCTATGTATGTACGAGCTGGAGCTAGAGCTGGAGCTTCCGCCACGTCCCACATACGCCCACTTGCTCGATCCTTGAGGGGGGGCTACATCAAGGTCCTGATCACCTCTCCTAGACGTTCCACTTCCACTTCCACTTCTACTTCCATTGTATCTGTTCTCATATAAAGAAAAAAGCCTATCCAATTTGTGTTTAAAGTCAGTCAAATAAGACGTATAATCATGTCCTAAATAATGGCCTAACTCAGTAATTACACCATTAACTAAGGATAATTTAAACCTAGGATCTAGAAAAAGGCCTAATCCATATAAGAATGGAATATCTAACCAATATCTCTTATATTTTTCTTCCATACTTGAAACAATTTCACTAAAAATGTTATCATGTCTATATTGATCAAAAGTTTTAGCAATTTGAACTAAAATATCTAACACTAAATTAGTAGTTGGATAATAAATACCACTTAATGTATTAGTAGCATCATAAAAAATTTTAAGAAATGAATAAAAAAGTTCACAAACCGCCCAATCATCATAGTTGACAACTTCCTCTGGATAGTTCTTCCGGTTGACGAAATCTGTAATTTGTTTCGCGATTGGCAAAGCTTTTTCCAACATCAAGTAGGTAGAGTTCCAACGGATAGGCATGTCTGTACATAACTTCAAAGGTCGAACCGGTGGGTCCTCTTGCTTACAATATTTGACGTACTCCTGCCATCTTTTATTGCTACCGCCGACGATAAATCCGATAGCTCTACGCACCCTCTCAATCCTTGAATGTATAGCATCTAAACCTGCTTTAACTATCAAATTGATGATGTGACAAGCACATCTCTGGTGATAAAATTTGCCTTCACCAAGCGGATCCAATTTCTTTTCAAATAAAGATATTGCCGTGGTGTTAGCAGCTGCATTATCAAGCGTTAGCGCTACAACTCTATCAGTTAATAAATATTCTTGCAAAACTTCAAGAATTGTAAAATAAATAGTTTCAGCACTATGTTTTTCATATAATGGTTTAAAACCTATCAATTTTTGTTGTAAACCCCAATTATGATCTAAGAAATGTACTGTAACAGTTAAAAAATCGGTTTTTGATCTACAAGCCCATATGTCTGATGTAAGTGCAATAGATATATTCCTAAAATTTTGAAATTCGTTTTTAAGTTTATTATTTATTTTGTTATAAAGTTTTAGTATATCTCTTCTACTTGTAGTTCTACTAACAGGGGTATATGCTGGACAAAATGCAGTTTTAACCATATTAACAAAAAAAGGATTTTCAGATAAACAAATGGGAGAGTCTGTAGC